CGCTGCGGCGCTAGGCCCAGTTCCCCGAGCGGTGAACGGGGACCCGAATGCTTGCACCGCACGCAGCCAACGCCGCGCCTCGGGATTGGGGGTTGGCGCCGGGTCAATTGCGAGTCGCCGGGCATGCTGCGTGCGGCAATGCCGCAGCTGGGGCGCTGGGGGGCGCTGGGCCATTGTGCGTGCGACTGCAAATGCGCCGTCCGGAGGGCGGTTGTTTCGGGTCGTTGGTATCGCGTCGTCGTGGGGTTGAGGAGCGGTGCCTGCTGCGCCTGCGGGCCTGGTGGTGGTGGTGGCGGCGGCGGGCGGTGATAGGCTGGGCGGGGCCCGAGTGGCCTGTCCTTGGCCTGCCCTAGCCCTGCAGCTGCCCGCAACCCGCAGGCCCAACACGCAAGAAAAAACAGCAGACCGCCTCTGCCACCTCGCGCAGCTTGCGACGACATGCCCGCCACGCCCGCCACGCCCGCCACGCCCACCCACGCCCGACTCCCGCTCTGCCCTCCTCCAGTTCTGCCTGCAATTCTTTTCCTCCCATCCCTCGTCGTCGTTGTCGTCGTCGTTGTCGTCGTCGTTGTCGTCGTCGCCTCCCCCGTGTCCAGCCCTCAACAAATATAGGTGCGTGCCCCTGCCCCGCCCTGCCCTTTTTTCTGCCTCTCCTGTGTCGGCCCCCTCAGCATATTTGTCCGGACATCTACATCGCCGGACATCGCCCAAGGCCCCATATCAAACTCCGAAGTCGTTGCAAGCGCCGCCATTGGCCCTCGCTGCAAACCTCCCGGCTCTTTCTTTGTCATAATTCTTTGCGGCCCATTGCCTGCCCACAATCCTCCTCTCTCTGTCTCCTGCCACTCCTGCTCACCCTCCTGCAGTGCTGCTTGACCCATCTTCACAATGTCCGCCAAGTCCATCCTCGAGGCAGACGGCAAGGCCATCCTCAACTACCACCTCACCCGCGCCCCCGTCATCAAGCCCACGCCGCTGCCCCCGGCCGCCACACACAACCCCCCGCCCAAGCTTGCGTCGCTGCACTTTGCCGCCGACGAGGATGTCAAGGGCGTCCTCGACCAGGCCGAGGCCACATACCCGTGGCTGCTGACGCCCGGCTCCAAGTTTGTTGCAAAGCCAGATCAGCTCATCAAGAGGCGAGGCAAGAGCGGCCTGCTGGCCCTCAACAAGACGTGGGCCGAGGCTCGCGCGTGGATCGAGGAGCGGGCAGGAAAGTCGCAGCGCGTCGAGACGGTCGACGGTGTCCTGAGGCAGTTCCTGGTCGAGCCCTTTGTGCCCCACCCCCAGGATACCGAGTACTACATCAACATCAACTCTGTGCGAGAGGTATGTCCACATCTGTCCGTTTTTTTTCTCCGATATTTTTGTTCTTCTCTTTCTCTCAAGTGGGTGCGTGGCAGAGCGCTGCCTGGCACAGCGGCATACGTGGAAAAGACATGTTTGGGTGCTCGAGCGGGAGCCTGCACCCAGGTGCGAACGGGACGCAAGGTTTGGCTCAAGCACACGGGCGCCTGGCCTGCTTTTGTTTGAAGGCCGGCCGGACGAAGGGAACGATGTCCGACCCACTTCTGCAAAGCACCAACTCCCTTGCGATACGCACGTCCACTGTCACATGCCAAATTTCCCTGCTTTGCCAGCGTATTACGTTGCTGTACCAGCATTTCTCACTCACCGGCCCTTGGTGTTGCGGCTCTTGCCAGCGGCACCTGTGCGCCGGCGTCTGCGCGCGCCATGTTGCCAATCATGTCCCGATCTAGCCGCTAACCTTTTCGCTTAGGGTGACTGGATCCTCTTCACCCACGAGGGCGGTGTCGATGTCGGCGACGTCGACGAGAAGGCTGAGAAGCTGCTCATCCCCGTCGACCTCAAGGAGTACCCTTCCAACGAGGAGATTGCCGCTACTCTCCTGAAGAAGGTCCCCGAGGGTGTACACAACGTCCTCGTCGACTTCATCTCAAGGTTATACGCCGTCTACGTCGACTGCCAGTTCACGTGAGTAGCCTGCCCCTACTACACCGACTACTTTGTACTAATGCACCGCAGCTACCTCGAGATCAACCCCCTCGTTGTCATTCCCAACGAGGACAAGACGTCTGCCGCGGTCCACTTCCTCGACCTGGCTGCCAAGCTCGACCAAACTGCAGAGTTCGAGTGCGGTGCCAAGTGGGCCATTGCTCGCAGCGCAAATGCCCTCGGCACACCAGCTGCGCCTGCAAAGGACGGCAAGACGACCATCGATGTCGGTCCCCCGATGGAGTTCCCTGCTCCTTTCGGTCGTGAGATGAGCAAGGAAGAGGCATACATTGCCGAGATGGACGCCAAGACTGGTGCTTCCCTCAAGCTGACCATCCTCAACGCCACTGGCCGTGTCTGGACCCTTGTTGCTGGTGGTGGTGCGTCGGTCGTCTACGCCGACGCCATCGCCTCTGCTGGTTTCGCTAGTGAGCTCGCCAACTACGGTGAGTACTCTGGTGCCCCCACAGAGACCCAGACCTTCCACTACGCCCGCACCGTCCTCGACCTCATGCTTAGGGCACCCAAGCACGACGAGGGCAAGGTTCTCTTCATCGGTGGCGGTATTGCCAACTTCACCAACGTCGCCTCGACGTTCAAGGGTGTCATCCGCGCCCTCCGGGAAGTTGCTCCCCTTCTCATTGAGCACAATGTCCAGATCTGGATCCGCCGTGCTGGTCCCAACTACCAGGAAGGTCTCAAGAACATCAAGAGCGTCGGCCAAGAGCTCGGCCTCAACATGCACGTCTACGGCCCTGAGATGCACGTCTCGGGTATCGTGCCATTGGCCCTCATCCCCGGCAAGACGACGGATATCAAGGAGTTCTCTGGTTAAGCGTGTGCTTTGTATATTAGAGTCGCAATTGTAGATTAAGAACTACTTATGACTCATGGCTAGACAAAGAGTGGAGGTTTTGCGAGCTGTGCACCGAATGACGGCTTGGGCGTCTGTTACCCCGCCGCGCCGCTTGATTCATACGGCTGCTGATGAAGAAATATACCATTTAATACTTCCATTGTTTGAGTTGTTGTGATTGTAATGTGGGGAATGAACTGCCTATCACCAGTGTGAGGACACGGCTGTGTGAAGAAAAAACAATCACTTTGCTTACCGTTCCCCGCTTATCGGCAACTCGTCTAAGCACAAGCCTTGATGCACGAAAACACTGCCCCTCACAGCTCACTTTGCCCAACCCCAACGATATCTTTTTCTTTTTTTACTTCATGGATATAAATTTTCTAATTTTGAAATTTCCCTACCTGTAGCGGGTCCTCATCAGAAGGTACACCGTCATCCCCATCCATCTTCCTTGTCTGCACCGCAGCAGGAGCCCAGTTCGAGTCTCGTGGTGTCCTTTTTCAAATCCACTCACTCGGGTAACCAGTGATGCTGGAGGGACCTAAGCAATGAATGCAATTTTGACGAGGGAAGAAATTCTGCAGTCGGGCATTCACCATGGGACGGCGGCGCTGGATTACTCTTATTGTGGTTGGAAGGCGGGTTGGCGGGCTGGTGTATCGACTGATATTTTTGTTCTTTTTTTTCGGTTTTTTTTTGCTTTCACTTTAATTGATTGTTTAATTTCTTAACTAACTACCACTAACGACGACTCACGAATGGAATTTTCTACTCACTCACTCACTCACTCACTTGCTTGTCTTAGCGACCTAATTGATTAATTGTAGCTGCGTGATTATTGTAGTAAGAGGAAAAAAAACTTGTATTGTATAGTATTCTGCAGGCTTGTATTACATGACATTTATTATCCCTACACCTACGTACTACATATATACGTGTATGCATTATCTACCAGTAAGCAGCAGGTCTGGTCGCAAACATCCATGACGCTTACAATGACGAGGATGATGATAATAATATACGCGAGGTTTCTTCAAAGCAGTGTTTTTTTTTGCAGCTAAGATCCAAGGTCGCATTCAAGATGTACATATAAACACACAGGCAAATGGCATTCACATTGATAAGACACGCGTGGAAGAAGAGAGAGAGGGAGAGAGAAAGGAGCATAGTTGATGTATACAATGCAAAATCAATGCAGAAATCAATGGAAATCAATGGAAATCAATGCAAGAATCAAGCCGGAAGATCAAAAGCCCAAAGACACGAAGCAAAAACGCCCCTTCGCCATGCATGCATGCAATTTGACAGACAGATGAATGGATAGACAGACAGACAGATGGACCGAAAAAACTAACATGTAGCAAAGATGAAAAGGTGAGAATAGTCTAGGGAGTTTAGACAGCAATACCCCTTCGCTTCCATCCGCCAGGGCCCCTCCACGCCCACAGGAACAAACCCATGGCAAACCAGACGCTAATAGTCATGGCCCAGTAGGTCGGGGCATAGCAAGCTTTACCATGACAGAGGACGTCATCCGGATCTTTTTCGACGCCAGCCTCGGCGGTGCCTGCAGCTCTCTGGTAGACGGTTGCGTAGACGGAGCCCCAGAGAGTGGCGCCAGCAGCAGGCGTCATAGCCAGAATGCCCCAGTTTGTGCCGAAATTCTCGACGCCCCAGACGACGGAGACGACAATGGGGGTGAGGGAGAAGACGGCGCCGTAGCCGGCTCCAATGAGTGCGGAAACGGCTGCGAAGCGGGAGGCGTGGTTCTGGACCCAGCCGCTTGCAAGCAGGAGTTGGCCGAGCGAGAGGAGAAAGGCAAAGGCCAAAAGGAATGTGATGCGGGATACGGTGAATTTGCGAGGCTGCTCGCGGGGTGGAAGCGAGGAGAGCGAGTTTTCAACAGACTCGGGATTGCGGCAGTGTTGGCGCGCCGGGGCAACAGGAGCAAGGATATCAGAGAGAGTGCCGGTGACCAGACGAGCGAGCGTAGAGGTAATGGCAACGATTGACACGTGGGTTGCTGGCGAGGTGTTTGTCGAGACGTGTGCAGGTGTGAGGGTCTCGATGATGGTGCCCAGGTTGTTGATAAAGGCCTCGCCAGGTCCAGTGACGAGGAAGAAGCCGCCTGCAAGCCACCACATGGTCGGATCCATAATGTAGCGACGAGTTTCCTCGTTCAGGAGCCACGTCTTCTTGCGAGCCTCCTCTTCAGCCTTGGCCTTGAGGCGCTCAGCCTCGGACTGCAGGAAATCAAATGTCGAATCCGACAGGTCCTGCGTCTCCATGGTGCCGTAGCCGTGGTGGTGCGCAGCTTGCGTGAAGAAGGCGTCTCGCTGCAGGAGGCCAGATCTCTCGAGCTCGTCGACAGCCTCGTCAATCATCTCCTCCTCGTCGACGATGCGCAGGGCGAAGAAGCCGACGGAGCCTACGCAGAACAGCAGGATGCCCAAGAAGAGGAAGAAGCGGAACACGTCCACGTCGCCCCGGGTCCCGTCTGCGTTCCTCTCGTACAGCAGCCGGCTTCCCACCTGGCTCTCCCACATGCCGCTCAGCCCAAACGCGGCAATGGGCACGGCCAGCGCGACGCCCTTGCTGTTTCCGCGTCCAAAGTTCTTTGCGCATGTCGTGACGGCAGACAGATACATGCAGCTCGTGCCCATGCCGACCAGGCCAAAGGCCAGGACCATGACGCCAAAGGGCCATCCATGGCCGGCGGCGGAAGGCGGCGGACCGCTCCTGTAGGCCAGAGCAGCCAGGAGATAGCCAGCGCCAAAGAGGATGCCGGCGAGGCCCGCAGGCACGCCAGGGCCGAGGCGATCGCAGAGGTATCCAAAGAGGGGGACGAGGAGGTAGAGGCCGAGCTCGGCGCCGATGGAGACGACGTTGACCTGGACCTGGGTGTAGTGCAGCTTGGACTGGAACAGATGGCCGTAGAGCGAGAAGGCCGTGATGCTGCCGGCGCAGAGGCAGATGACGATGGCCCAGGCAAAGCTCAGCCATCGCAGGACGGCGCGCTGCATCCTGACGCGGTCGTGCTCGTAGATGCCCTCGGCGACCTGGTCGAAGAAGCTGCCGGCGTAGCTGGTGCCCTGGCTGCGGCGCTGCGAGTCGCTGTCGCTGTCGGGGGCCACGAGGGGGCGGCGCGGGGGATGTGGTGGGTAGTCGAGCTTGTCGATGGTGGTGAAGCCATTGCCGCTGTTCCGCTTGGAGGACGGGGGGGACATTGGCGGTATCGGTGTCTCGGGGGCGGTACGTGTGACGAGGTAGCGTGTGGCTTGGATCACAGACACAGAGTCATGGCACTTCCCGAGTAGGGGCAGACACGGCGGCAGCCCTTTTCTGGCGGCGTCGACGACAGCGAGGCAACGGGGCTCGGGGCTCTGCAGCTCTGCACGGCAGACGGGCGGTCAGCCGACGGCACTGCGACTGCACGACGGTGTTGTCGCGCGAAGTAGCTTGCACGCCAAGCACTGGCTTTGCCGTAGGTATTCCCGATCCGATGCCGCGCTACTGCTGCTGCTGCTGCTGCTGCCACCACTCTTTCTCTTTGCCCTCGTCCTGCCGCAACACCACCATGGCCCCCCACCACGCCCTCGTCAACCTCTCGCCCGCCGAGCTGTCCTTCCTGCGCGCGTCGCTCGCCCAGACGCCGCCCGTCCGCCTCGATGTCACCAAGGGGCCCCGCGACTTTCGCTCCATGCGCGCAGAGTATGACGTGCTGCCCACGGCCAACGGCAGCGCCCGCATTGCGCTCGAAGACGGCACTGAGGCGCTCGTCGGCGTCAAGGCCGAGGTGGAGAAGACGCGCCAGCAGCCAATGGCCGGCGAGCAGCCCGGTGCAGACGTGCAAATGGGCGACGGCGACGGCGACGGCGACGGCGGCGAACAAGCAGACGGCGCCAAGGGCAAGGGCCAGAACGCCTGGCTCGACATGAGCGTCGAGATTCCGGGCTTCCGCGACGACGATGCGCTGCCTGTTTTCCTCGCGTCCATGCTGACGGAGAGCCTGCTGGCCAGCGGCGAGCTCAAGGACCGCCTGTACATCAACACGCGCTTCCATTGGAAGCTCTACATCGACGTGAGAAGCGCGATACGAATACACCCGTGCGCCCTGCTAACCCCACTAGATCCTCCTGCTCTCGCCGCCCCTCTCGTACCCCCTCGCCCTGCTCTCCATGACGACGCACCTGGCCCTCCTGACAACACACCTCCCAGCGCTCAAGTCGGAAAAAGACGAAGACCCGCTCTTCGACGACGATTGGGACGCGGCCGTGCCGCTGTACCCCAAGCAAACGGGCGCAAACAAGACTGCGCCCCAGCTGGGAAAGCCCCCCGTCATCATACTGGCCATGGCTGTCGGCGCAAACGTCATATTTGACCCCGCCAAGGAAGAGCTAGCGGTAGCGGATGCGGTTCTCGCCGTCGCATGTACGAATTCGACGGCCTCGTCGACGGGCGCGCGCATCGTCTCGATCCGCACAATCGACCCTCCGTCGCATCTGACCCCGCCGGGCGTGCCCAATTCCATGAACTCGGCCACTGGCGGCACTGCGCCCACGTCGGCTGCCGACGCCCTCACACAGCGCGAGTTGCTGGCGACGTCAGGCGTGTGGACGCCACCGCGGGGCGGCATGAAAAGAAACCTCATCTCGCAGGTGACCAAGATGGTGGTGGAAAACGGCGGCGTGGCTGAAGAGGTCATTGGCGCATTGGCCGCCATCGAGGTTGGCTGAAGAACAAAGCAAAAAGTGTGTTGCATAGCCAACATGCCTTGACATGCCACCAAGAGGTGCAAAACTTTGTGCCTGCAAAAAGGATTATGCGCCTGGCACCTTAACAAAGCGCAGGCGCAGGAAGACGATCTGAGGGTCCGACATAAGAGCCGTCTCAAAGCATACGGGCCCCCCAAGCCTTGGCCGTTGTTGAGCCAAGTCGTCGTCGACGTGCTCGGTCACGGCGTGGTAAAGGACGGTGCTCTGGGGCTTGTACAGTCAGACACGTGTATATCAATAGAATCACAACATGTAAACTGTGCGAAGCTGGTCTTGTAGCATGCACCAGGGCGGAACGATGGTGCGTTTTCAATGGAGAACATGGGCAGACTCGTGGCACGTTACCCCAGCAGCGTATCAGAAGAACAAAGCGCCAACCTCACTTTTCGTGTCATGCACCACATGAAGACCAAGCAAACATGCCCGTCTCCAAACCCGCTAGTCTTGCTTTTACCGGCATCCCATGCACGCGGCGACGCACCGGCCGGGTCGAGCCAGTGTTTATCGCATGACAGCCACGTAGTCGGCCTCTACGTATGTAGACTACGCTTCGAGCAGAACCGCCATACACACGCCCGGCCCTTTCATATAACATACGACGTGCTGCCCGTACCCGGCGACTCGCTCTCACCGCTGGCCTCCCATCCTGCCTCTCTGCATACACACCTTGGTCACACAAACGCGCCCCTCCCCGCACACGGACGAGTCTCTGATGACATTATCCATCCTTGGCTGCATGCACGACAAGCTTCGCAAAGGCGCAACAACACCACCGCACCTGGGACCTGGACTCGACCCCTTCTGCCGTCCAGAAGCAGCACCCGCAGCCATGATGGACCTACACCACCAGTCACACTTCTCCGCCCTCACCACACGCTTCTCTGATATGCTAAAGGACACGACAAGCGGCCGGCGCAAGCCGAGCACCTCGGGCCATGCGATACGCCAACCCTCAGTCACGGCGCTGACCCTGGATCCGACAACCATGCTGACACGCTGCCACCGCGACCGTGAACCTGATTCGGTACGAGAACATCGCAGGAGCAGCGTGGGCAACTATGCCGACCGCTTGCGCCAGCGCTTCCACCCCTCGCTGCACCACCACACGCACCACAACCACTCCAGGCGCGCCATCAACCACCTCCCGGCCGAGGTCCTGCAAAACATATTCGCTTACCTCGACTTCTGGCATCTGCTGCGCTGCCAGCGCGTCTGCAAGACGTGGCAGGCCCTCGTCCCCGGCGACTCGCCCTTGCTCGCCGAAACACTGTACCTGAAGCCGTCGCGCAGCCTGCAAATCTACAGCCTGGTGCCCACCACCTTTGACTTTGAGCTAGACCTCACGCCGCCCACCAGCGAGTCTGGACCGCAACAGCAAGTCGCAGCACCCCCTGGCAGCACGCGTAGCACGCGCAGCACCTCGTCCTCGTCCTCCCTCGGCACCCGCAACCACCTCAGCTTGTCGAGACGCTGTCTGGGCCTGATACGCACGAGTCAGGAAATCGTGTTTCACCCGCTCATCACCGACTTCAACTTCTGGGTCAACCGCCCTTCCGTCACAGGCAACTATGACGGCTCCTGGAGACACATGCTCGTTTCCATGCCCCCGCTCAGAGAACTCACCCTCAGAGATGCACGCCAGAATCGCGCAGTCACCGTCATGTGTGTGGCTGGTGAAGAGGGCGTCAAGTTGGGCCAGCTGTTTGACGTCATGGACGAGTGGAAACAGTGCTGGATATGATTGACACTCTTCTTCTTCTTCTCCTTTTCCTTTTCTTTCCTTTTCTTTTTTGTGATGATCGATATGACGTGTTCTTTTCTCTGTCTCTTTATTTCTTTCTTTCTTTCCTCATTTTTTTTTCTTTTCTTTCCTGCCTATTTCCTTATCTCTCTCTCTCTCTCTCTCTCTCTCTTTCTCTCTCCAAAATCATCATTGAGCGCATGAAAATATCTCTAGCGGTGAAAGGGGGGCCCATTTCCCCACCTCCTCCCACCCAACTCGGCAGGCGTTATTTTTTTTCTCTCTCTTCACATCTTATGAATTCATAGGTATCATAGCATCGGCGCAACACGGATGGATTGGGGGGGGGGCGGGGGCGCAAAAAAAAGATTCACGCCAGAGACGCGTTTGCATAGCCGGGGGGAAGAAGGCCAGATTGTGTATACATAAAGCATATATCCCAGGTACACACACATACACGCATACGCAAATACGAACAAAAAGGACACATACTTTATGTACAAAATATTCAATGCTTGACGAGTCGGACCTGACATGGGGGGTGTGTGATGTGTGATGCGGCGTAACCTCTTTGCGTTATGCAAACCGTTTTGCAACCGGACCGGGAATCCATGCACATGCCTGTAATATGAGGGTATGAGGGAGGGGGAGGGGGGGGGTATCTACGCTTTCCACTGCAAAAGCCGAGCACATACACACACACACACAGAAAAAAGAAGAAACAGCGCTAACAATTGTTCAAGCCGCCTTACCTACTTACATGGTCGCCCAAGGCTTTTATGCCTTGAGGCGGCGCACCAGGTTATTAATCTCGTGCTTGACCTGCTCGCAGCTCAAACGCTGTTGGTCGTCATGGTGCATCATGCTGGAGATGAATAGCTGAATGTCGAGGCCGGCGTCGCCATGACTCTGTGCGAAACAATGGGGGAAAAAGCCTCGGCGCAACTCGGTGAGGGCAGCGATTCGCTCCATGCGGGTGCTGAATTTGTGCAGCATTTCAAAGGCGACGACGCCCAGAGCAAAGATGTCGAGCTTCTCGTTGATGCTGCTCATGCTGCTCGCGGCAGGGCGATAGAATTCCGTGCCCACCGGCTTGGCAAGCGTTTCAGGCATCGTGCACTTGTCGCTCAGCGCTGCTACCAGCCCAAAGTCGCCGATCCGGGGTGTCATGTGGAGGTGCTCACGCTCGGGGCACTGCTTACAGCTCGACATATCGATGGACCCGTAGGGCGCATGGCGAGCCGTAGACAGTGAGAGAAATACGTTGGCGGGCTTGAGATCGCGGTGGACAACACCTTGACTGTGAAGGTATTCCACCCCTGAGACAATGTTGTTGAGCAGCTCCAGCGATACGCAGGCGTGGAAGCAATGTTGGCTGGCGATTCCAGCTTGCTCGGATGAGAGGAACGCAGCGAGGTTGGTTTCGCAGAGACTCATCTGCACGTTCAGCGTCAGGACCGGACCGAGATTCCGCTTCTTCATCAGGTGCTGGGGCGCGTCGCTGTTCGAAATCATGCTGTCTGACATTTCCGACATGCTTTCTTGAGAGTACGGCATGTGCGACCGAGGAATGTTCTCAATGTCGTCGTCCTCTTCTTCGTCTGCATCCTCTACGGCGCTCATTCGGGACTTGGTCGACGAGATTGTCGCTATCGTCATCTGACTCGCCTGGCTACCGCGTCGCTTTGACCGTCTAATTTGTGTAATTGTTTCCTTAATACAAATACTACCACTTTCAGTCGGAGCCTCTTGCGCCCCCACTCCGGGTTCGCTAAACTCAAAGATGATCCCAGCACTATTACTGTTCTCAGTCCTAATGAGAGGGTCGTCGAAACTCAGGCTGTCCAGCTTGGAATGGAGATCATTGGTGCCCATAGACGAGGTCGGAAACGCAGCCCGATCTTCCAGGAGACGATCGTCTCGAAGCACCGCTATATCCGGTACATTCGCAGTTTCGGCAGGCAATGTGGTAAACTCCAACCAGGCATTGTGGTACCGAACGATATTGTTGTGGTCGAATCGAGCCAGTGAGCGAACTTCCTCCAGCATGCTTTCCAACTCCTCGGGCCCGTGCTCTTGGATTCTGGCCACCTTGGCAGCGCTCACAGGGATCCTCTTGACGGCATAGAATGACCCATCGAGCTTGTGTTTGGCTTTGAACACCTTGCCATATCCTCCTTTTCCAACAACCTCCAACTCGGAAAACTCTCGAATATACCGATCCGTCTGCAGATGAGGATAGCCCCGTAGTTGAAGCTGAACTGGGCCCGATATTCCAGACAAGATATCGAACCCCAAAGACGGCTGTTGAGGCACTCCGTTCCCTGCTCGTGCAACCAAAGCCTGTGAGGATACTTCTGGGATAACCGCAAGCTTGCTCAGATTGCTTCGGGTGAGCCTGTTGATGCCCTCGTTTGCCGTGCTCCGATGGCTTTGCATTTCATCGCTGGCATAAGCGTCGTCGACATTGTTGGAAATCTGACGGGCAATTTCCTTGTATGAAGCCCTGCCCAATCTCTGCGCTTCAGGATCAGATGGGTCTTTGCCTAGCTGTGCCGCAACTTCGCGGATAGTCCGTTCCTCCAGCAGCGAATGCAGCAAAAGATCTCGAACATTCTGTGCTGAGCTTTGCCGTGGATCTAGAGAGGGTCGATGGGGCTGAATAGGCTGGCCCGAGGAAGCAGAATCCAGCGTGTTGATCCTGGACAGAACACTATCCTGCTGCGGGTTGCTTGTTTCTTCATACTCGCTTTCTTCTTCGGAGCTGTCTGAACTTGACGATGAATCGCCTGGCCTGCGGAACATGGACATTGTTGGTGGAAGGGCAGCGGACGTGACTAACGAAAGTAGGAGAGGCCAGGTGCCGTCGGACAGGGATTTAAATGCTGATTGGTGGTCTTGAGATCATTCAACAATGCCCCCTGGTTGAGAAGGGGCGAATGCAGTCGTGGTGGTTACAGCTGTGGTTGTGTGTTGTGCTGTGAAGCTGCAGCGTCGAGCGAATACCAACTCGGTGCCAGCAGCTGAACACGCAGGACCGCCATGAGTACACGTTTAGGCAAACATCGATTGTCGTAGAATTCGGTGGAAGCGCAACGTGTTAATTTGAGGGCGGAGAGCACAGTACAGGACCGCCCACTGCTCAATCGGAAGGGCGCACAGGCGACGGTCGGTCTAGCCGAACCCGGAAACGCGTCATAGCACGTGGCCAGGCGAAAGCGAGCCATTCACCTTGTCTCACTCACAGCGGGACTCGGTCTCCAAGAGTGCGGTGGTTGCGAGAAAGCCTGGGTCTTTTGTACAATTTGGGTGGGAGAGATGGCTGATCGCGTTCAACCTCATCATTGCACCTTCACCTTGCGCCAATACCTGTACTTACGGCTGATCCGCAAATCCGAAAACCATGCCGCGCCAGCTCCCCTGGGCGAACAAAGGAGCAGCCAGTCGGGCAAAAGGAAAATCAGTGAACCCATCTCCAAGACCTGCATCGCACATCTCTAGTATCGATGGTGCCCTCTTTGATGACGCGGTATTGGAAAGCAGTAGCAAGGGAAAAGAGCAAGCCAACGAGTCAGATGATGACCTCCCGACTCTGCCAGCAGAGCCATCAACACCACCCACGAAAACCAGATGGAAAGATGGCGATGGAAGGAAGCCCGAAGCATCATCGTCGCCGCCTCCAACCGTCAATCTCGAACAACCACGCGTTGAATTCATGCACAAAGCCATTTCCAAGTTCGACCTTCGCGACGACGAATGGATGATGGTTGAAGACGAGTTTCTCGAGACGGCAAAGCTATTCACACGGCACCTGCACATTGCCGAGTACGACCGGCTCAAGGAGATGATTGAGGCGAAGAAGAAAGACGCCAGCATCGCAAGACCGGTCGTACCCAACGCGAACATGTCTGCGGCCGGCGCCATGAAAGAGAAGGCCAGAGTGCAAGAGCAGAAGCAAAAGAAGGCGACCCGCGATGTCTTTGCGTCGCAAGATGACGACGAGGCTGAGGCGCCAGGCATTACTACTACGTCTTCAGCCTCTATCATGCATAATAGACCTATGCCGGCATATGATTCCGCCTCCAAAACAGAATCAGGCCGGCCAGATACAGCACAACAGCCACCAAGCACGCGCATGGAATCAGACACCGAAAGCGAAGATCTAGATGCGCCACGGCCCCCAACAAAGCCTCTCTTCAAAGCCACCACCACCAGCGGCGTATCCAAGACTGCCTCCCATCCCACAGCAAAAGCCCCAGCCCCTTCTCCCTTCGCTAAGCCCGCTCCGCTCCCCACCGCAGCAAAACCGCGCTCGAGAAGAAGTCGCGCAACCCCCTTCGACATGCTCGATGACTGGGTCCCCCGCAAGCCGCATCCCGCGTCGCCGAAAGCCTCGCTGGAGAAGCCCGCCAGACCTCCTCTACCAGCTGCATTTCAGAAGCGAAGCGCTACTGCTGGGTCTGAGCGCTCGTCGGATGGCGTTGATGGCGCTGCAAAGACGAGTCTGCGTGCACCATCGCCGGGTTCGTCTGGCCAAAGGGAGCAGCAGCGAAGTCCTGAGGCCAGTAGTAGTAGTAGTGGTAGGAGAAAGAGCACCGACCTTGCAGATCGGCTTGCGAAGCGAAAGGCTGACCGCGAGACGAGTGAGGGGGAGAAGAAGAAGAAGAAGAAGAAGGCGTTGAGTGTGGATGACATACCCACGTTTTTGTTTTGAAGTTGACATACATTAACATAGGGTGTTCCTGGAGTGCTTTGCCTTTAGCTAACAGCTGTACAACCTGGTTACGTAGAGGATTACGATTTGCCACACATACTAGGAGATTTTGAGCGATTACTGGATATTTTCCTCTCCTTGGGAACAAGTGTAAATGTTGAAGGGTCACGAGCACCATTTCGTCGATAATGATTGTTTTGCTTTTAATTCCTATGAGGAAGAAGCTGGCTGAGATACTCTTCCGAGCATCAACCTGTCACAGTCATCTGATACCGAAAAACGAACCCACAGAAGCAGCCGCCGCCGCCACCCCAAATAATACAAATTCAGAGCAAAAAAAAAAGTCTCTTCTTGCCCTTTAACGCCCGCAAGAAAAACATCCAACGACCCTAAGCGAACAGCTTATCCAAAAAGCGGTTGAACGGGTTTGTCTCCGGCTTCTCGACAAAAGTGCGATGGTACTCCTCGATTTCCGCGAGATCGGTAACGAGATCGGCCTCGTGCGAGGGAACCCATCTGGTCCTCTTGAGTATCTTCCAGCCGATGAAGAGAACGGGGAAAATGAAGACCCTGGAAAGCAGTATTAGACTCGGCGACAAGCATGTGAGGCATCAAAATGGGGAGAGGGAAGAGAAAACTTACATCAAGTACGAGAACAGGAAAGAAGTTACATCCCATTGTCCCTTTAGGGAAACGGTATATCCACCGACAAAAGTCATGATAAAGGTGCAGATGAGACCGTAATATGCGGCGTAAGGCTGGCAGATGCCCTTGTACGGCAGCGTGTTGCGATCCAAGCCCTGAGCTTTGCACGCCTTGTGGAAGCGCAAAAAGGTGAAGCACATGACGCTGAAGTTGATGAGCTGGGAGGCGGTGACCAAGCTCACGAACCAGTTGAGCACGACGGCCGAGTTTGAGCTGAGCTGGAGGAACGAGAGCAGGGCGATGAGCAGGACGACGAGGACGCAGTAGAACGGCACGCCTTGTTTCGTGCATTTTGTGAAGATCTTGGGGGCTTTGCCTTCGAGCGCGAGGCCGAACAGCGAGCGCGATGCGCAGTAGACGTACGAGTTTCCTGCAGAAAAGGCAGATGCGAGGACGCCGGCGTTGACGACGTGCGGGAGACCTTCGATGCGCAGTCTGTTCATGGCGATGACGTAGGGTGAGGCTGCGGCACCGGGCTTACCTAGTTTAAAGGCATTGATCAACTCCGGGTCGTTGTATGGCACGTTGATTCCCACGGCGAGGGAGCCAAGCACGAAGAAGGTGGTGAGACGGTAGAAGACGGCGTTGTAGGCGCGCGGCATGACTTTGCGCGGGTTCTCCGTCTCTCCTGCAGCCATGGAGACGTAGTCTGGCCCGGCAATTGTAAAGGATGCTTGGATGAGGCATTGCAGAAATCCCAGGAACCGGCCGAGTGCTCCTCCGTAGTACAATTCTGCGAAGCTTCCAGGCTTCTCCCAGTATCGGAATCCATAGCGGTCTTTTTCGGGATTGCCGCCCAACATGGAAATGAAGGTGAAGCAGAGCAGGCCGATGATGAGCAGGACTTGTACGTGTCAATCACATGTCAGTTTATTTTGTTGGTAGATCCTTACCTTTGCCGACGGCAGCATAGAATTCCGTTTCTCCATACCACTTCACAGCCAGCATGTTGATGACACTAGTGCATAGTTAGCTTCTCATCCCGTAGCCAATTCGACAAGACATTGAAAAGGGATACACTAGCTTCACGCAGGCTAGATCCAGTGCAAGAGCTGGACACGGGGTAAATATAGAGATACAAAGTGGGTCAACTTACGCATAGAGGATGAGAACGATTGCAATAATGGCACCAGTGGGCACGACATCGCTCCAGAATCCAATAACGACGTTGCAAGCCACAACCTCAAATGGTACTAGGGCTGCCTCAAAAACGAAGAAATTCCACCCAGCCGCAAAGCCAAAGGCGTCGTCTACAAAGCGTCCAGCAAAGCGAATGAATGGCGAGGATACCGGGAGGAACGTGACCATCTCGGCGATGCCTATAGATGGATATTAGCCAGGGCTCTGCATCACCGCGCAAGCGACGGGATAAGTTGCGTTGGGCGATTTGGAGGGCGCATGGGAATTGTCGCAGTGGGCACAGATTTTGTTTTGGGATGGAGAGATGAAAAAATGGAGAATCTCACTGAGCATCACAGCCAAGATGACGGTACACCTGTGCAATGTTAGCCTCGAATTCATCTCTAGCGCCTGTACTGTATGGCGAGATTCTCGAGGATATGGCAAGATACTCACCATAACGAAAAGGCGAGAAACAGAGACCCAGGACCACCATTCATCAATCCTCTGCCGATCTGGACGTAAAGAGCCGTTCCAATCGTACCACCAATACCGATGAGTTGGATGTGTCTGTTTTTCAGCTTGCGATGTGTATTGTCGGTGACTGATCTCACAGATCCCACGGTACTAGAGCGGCGGGGGCCCAGGTCATAATTGTTCTTCTCTTCATCGACGACATAGCCCTGGCTCTTCCCCTGATTAGGCGCGCCCGCCTCAAAGTCTCTGCTGATGGACGCCATGGTATTATAGCCTGGAAGGGATAGGGACTTGGAGTGGGAGGGAGAGGGGCGCGGGCCTCAGAGTATGGTTTTGAGGAGAAGGGCGAAAAATTGCACGACAAAAGCCATGAACCGTTGACGGCTGGCGGGTAGCAGGCTCCGCGACGATAAGCAAGGCTGATGGCGGCGGCGAGAGATAGCAAGACGGGAGGCGTGCGGGCGGGCGGCGACCAGTGCAAGTGCCGTGTTAATAAGGATTTCAGCATTGCTTAGCGTGAGTGAGCACGTAACATCGCGGTGAAAGGTGTGCATCACACTACGCCTGTTGGGGCTAGACAGGCTTCCCTGGGCGTGTTCGAGTATACCTCCCTCTTGCAGTTTGGGCGCAAGCAAGGGCAAGTCGCCAATGGGCCCGTTGTGGCCGTGGTTGCTGCTGCAGGCGGGATTTGGCTCCGCTGTGCGTACAGAACGGACCCTCATGTGTGGAGAAAGGCCATGCGGCGTGCTGTATACCCTGCCCGTGGGGGAAAAGGCCCGACAAGTGTCGTTCGTCGTGTGCTGTAGCAGGGGGGAAAAGATTAGATAACCGCGATACTGATAGGTACGGGTAAGTAGACGAGCTGTGGGCGGGGCACGGAGCAGCATCGGCCTTCTTGTCTTGTTGAACATGACCTCCAACGCTCCAACACTTGGTTTCCCTGTCCACCTCGGCCCAGCTCCTCTTTCGAGTTTTGCATCGAGCGGCAATGTCGCCATCCTGCCGTGCATTTTTTTCCTCTCTTCCCTGTCGGCATCCCCGAATCCTTGGTAACTGGCTTCTGGGACCAGAACCCCTCCGCCCCGTGTCTGAAGCTTGGCTGCCAAGCCTTCTCCAATGAAAGCGCCCCCAAGTCGTTCCTAATGGCTGCAGCGGACTTGGCATCGCTCGAGTGGCTGGTTGGCTCCAGGCTTGTCTTGATCTCAGATGCCCCAGTTAGCTCGGCCTCACGTCGCCATGGGGCTCAAAGCTACAGCTCTCCACTACACAACGACGTACGACAAGCCATCGCATGTGAGCCCGAACCCGTATTTCGGTACGTGGGGTGATGTGCAATCACTGCCCCTCCACAGGAAGCGTACCAAGAAAAGGCGGCTGCCGTGTAACGCTACAACACCACCAGATAGCGTGCTGCTGTCAGATATTCAGCCGTGGGACACTTCCGCCAGCCTCTTGCCGCACTCAGGAAGATCTGATAGTGTGCATTCGTCACAGACTGAGCCAAGGCTGACGGGTGCATGTAGATACCAGCCCCCCTGCCTTCGCTGACACTTGGCGAACACCTCTTGCTGGTGCTTCAGTATTCTTGTGCAGACAGGCTAAGCACATTGGTACCACACCCAAAGACCCCAGCTGAATGCAGAATCGGTGAACATATATGCGGTCCTGACAGGTGAACTTCGCTACAATCTTACATTCTTTTTGGCATGTCAACCTCGAATCAGGCAAGAAAAGTGCACCATGTGCCTTTGTTGTCATGGAGCCCGTCCGAATACAAGTCAAGATTACACCGGCTGCCCATATATTATTACAATAAACCCACTCTCCCGGTGCTTGTCACTAGATGCACACTCGCCCAGCAGGATTTAGCTTGGTTGATGGGCTGGAGGGGATTTCCGGTACATCAGCCTTGACCTCCTTCATCGCCATGAAATCTTCATCGCCTGTACGCGCCAGTTCTTGATTCAGCTTCTCGACAGTAGTTATCTCCCCCAGCCACCGCTCGCCAGTCTTATGGTCGAAATGAACAGGCTGTACCAGTCCGCCGTAGCCCGACATATCCTTCAGTGTTGGGGGATATATGATTGTGGTTTCTCTGCGTTCAAACCCCTCCTCGGTCATATATGGTTTTCCCTCGATAATTTGTGGCTCAGTGCGCCACTGGAACGGTGCCGCTGGAAGTTCTGGCACCTTCTGAACAATGTCCCACCATCTGTTTTTGCCGGTACGTGATGGTAGCTCGTCGGCGGATATTTCAATCAGGCCCTCGCCGTCGGGGTTGGGGATGAAATGACGAGGTGGAAGAACTTCTGTCTGCATCACAGGCTGTATTCGGTGGTAATAGGTATAGTTGTGAATCTCTCGGTATATTTTGTGCTGGATAACCTCGTGTTCGTGGGGCTTGATGACCTCGTGTGTGACCGCTGCAATGCTTTGGTTAGAGAACTTGCTGCATGTCGAATTTAATCTCGTGAGTAGCGAGAGTACAGCGACTTACCTGGGGCCCGTGTAGTCTCTCTGTCTGTATCCACTGTATGGCTCAAGTCCACGACGCCCTTGAGCATTGACTCCTGCCTGGCTTTCCACTCCTCACCAACATCCATCCCAGAATTGTCTCCCGTGGAGTCGAAATCCATGGCTTTGACAATCTTTTCTGCATGATGAGGCCTTTCCCTCACCGGGCTTTGAAGTTGCCCATTGCTGTTATCCTCTGCATTGCGCATGTGAGCTCCCTCTACGACGCTATCATTGGTGGTCACAGCCGTGCCAATCGGTTGCTCCTCATAATCGCTGAAGTCGTCGTTGAATGAACCTGTGCTCACGTTACTATGACTTGTCTACTGAAAAGAGTGTTTTCGGGGCATACCGGGTATTGCTGAAGCATGTTCCAAGCTATCAGGGTAGCAAAATGATCTGTAGGTATCGGCATTGCTGCCTTCCAGTATCAGGTCTTCGTCTGACGCAAGCACAGGACGGTGAGGACTGTTGCCATCTGCGACAGAGTCATTAGGTTTAGCGTCATTAGACTGGCTACTATAGAAAGAATCAGATGACAGGGAAGTCGATTGCCGGCCTGCCCGACTGGGTTGACGAGAGGATGTAGAATGTTGCCCAGAGCGCGGACTCCCCTCCTCAGACCGCTCATATGATCCTCGGGGAGACTGTGTTGGCGTAGACCTCTTCCTCCTATGGAGCACAGCCTTTAGCTTTTCTCTCATATTGATGACTGAATATTTCGGAAACGGTGGTGGCTGGGGCTAGGTGAAATGTCACCGGACTGCACTTGAGTGGGTAATGCTCAATCAATCTATGTCTGCTCCCGCACGACGGCTTGCGGAAATTAGGATCCATGACGTATTGCAAGCATCGGCCCAGAGCTGAAAGCTTCCAACAACGAAGCCGACAGCAGCACAGCCAAAAAGTCCAAAGGGGTTCTAGAAGGCTGCTAGTTAAACCAAAAATGCCGACCCCAAAAGGCAAATGACAGGCCAGGCTCGATTGCGATAGCTTTTGCGAGTGATGTGTCACAGCAGCCACCCTGGCTGGTGGCTTGAGCAGCATACGTAGCAGCCGTCTGGCGCCCCCTGATGACGGCGTGCCCAGGTCGGTTCAGATTTGCACCCTCTCCCCTCACTGAAACTCTTTCTCCCCACATCGATTCAAGCCCACGACAATAGCATGAATGGCAATTGTGCATGACGTACGCCGCCTGATGAAGGGAGGGATATGTGTGTTTGCAAACGATGACTGCTTCCGCGGTACGTTGCTGGGGCAAGTCGAAGAAGTAAAAGGCGGCTATGGCCGAACTGGCAAGTGACGTCGGAGATCATGGCGGAATGACGACAAAGACGGGAGGTTTGGTTGTGAGCGGCTCCGGTCGATCGGCCAGTGGTCCACCCAGAGGGCGATCACCTTAGGCTGCATGTATCGACTAGTTGGAGCCCAGCCGTCCGGCCTTCCGGATTCGAGGCGCCTGCGAGGATAGCTTGTCGCGGGGGAAATGGCGGCGCTAGTGCTAGTGACCAAGGACGCATACCACTGCAACAACCTGTTGTGATGATTCACCCATGTCATGTTGTCGTTGCTGGATGCTCGCACGGGTCCCCTGTCCTCCAAGGGGCGGGAGATGCGGCTTAGCGCCGATCGCTCAGATCGTCAATGCATGGCTTGCCCTCTTCGTCCACCAGCTGTTTGCACTCGCACGGCTCTGGGCCAGATGCACTCTTCGCGGCGATGGGACCAAATCCCCAAGTCCCGATGCATGATTGCATGCATCGCGGCCATGCAATATGACTGCATCGCTCTGCTTAGCTTTTCGGCAAGCGTTCAACGACACCACCAAGCGCCTCTTAGTGCCGTGTTTGGCGTCACGTTTACTCACGCCGTCTCACGCTTCCGAGGAGGCGGCCTACCAGAGTCGATTGGATGGAACCGTTAGCTGTTTGTAGTGTCCGCTCTGCATTGTTCAATTGACGCCGCTGGGGTCATGGATTGCGCCCCGGGCAACAGCCGTCCGCTATCGCTACCCTATGATGTGCATGGCTTCTCGCCCTGCGAGCAAGGCAGTTGGCATGCCATGTGCCTGCTTACCAGAGTCTGGCATTTCGATTACGTCGTTGTGCATCTGTCTCACTGGCCTTCTCTGTGTATAAAGAGGCACTGCGTCAGCGACTTGGGAGCATCATTACAACAACACCACAACTTTACACTACTCAATAACAAACCAGCCAACTCTCCTATACATCACATCTCCCAACTCTACCAATACCAACTACCCCACTACACATTCACAATGGACAAGGCAAAGGCAGCAATCACCGAGTTCATGTCCAGGTCTGGTCACCATGACACCACCGTACACGAGGCAGTTGCTCCCGCTGTGCATCACGAGGTCGTGAAGCCTCACGTACACGAGGAGGTCAACACTGCCATCGACAAGGAGGTTCACCAAGATCACTACCACCGCACCATCCAGCCAGTCTATGACCGCGAGGTCCTCCCTGAGACGCACACTGCCAAGCTCGGAGCAGTCCAACACCGCGAGTTCGACCACCGTGACGCCGATGCGACTAAGAGAGCCCTTGTCCAAGACCAGGCCCGCTTCGCTGATGAGAGGCGCGTCGAGGAAACCACCCACAGCCAGAGTGTTGCTCCCACCATTGGTGGAGAGCACGTTCACCACCACATCCACGAGACCATCCAGCCGGTAGTCCAAAAGGAGACTATCCAGCCAAACGTGGTCCACACCACCGTCCCAATCCACGAGGTCCACCACAACAAGGCCACTCACCATGAGACTACCTCTCTGCCTACCATGACCATGGAGCAGTTCAAGGCCACGGGTGGATCCCTCCATGGTCGTGAGGAGCGCTACGACGAGTTTGAGGGTGCTCCCAAGAGCATCGGAGGTGCCGGTATTCTTGCTAGCACCGAGGGACTTGTGCACAAGAAGCACCACGACCACACCGCAGCCCGCCATGGCGACTACGAAACCCGTAACCCCTTGGACCGCAACAATGACGGCAAGGTCGACATGCATGACCTCTCCTCCAAAAACCGCTCTCACGAGTATGGCACTGCTGGCGCTGTTGGCACTGCGGGTGTCGTTGGTGCTGCTGGCGCCCACAAGACCAGCAACCCTCTGGACCGTAACAACGATGGAAAGGTCGACATGCACGATATGGCTAAGAACCGTCCCACTGACCAAGCCATGGTTGGCTCTACTGGTGCCTACAAGACCAGCAACCCTCTGGACCGCAACAACGACGGAAAAGTCGATGCCCACGACATGACCAAGAATGGTTCTGTTAGCTCCTCTAGCTCTGCTGGTAGGAACAGCGACTTGATTGATCCCTCCCGCAACAGTACGTACCATGCCCCGCTCACACACGAGTCCTACTAACTTTAAACAGAGCACGAAGGCGCTACAGGTACGAAGGAGTCCCACGGAAAAGCACATGGTGTCAGCGACGAGGGCAATCTGGATCACCGTCCCAACGAGGACGGCCACTTGCCCAAAGCTCTCATTGAGCCCGTCTCCAAAGCCATTCCCCATTCCCAAGCCGCTGAAGAAGAACTGAAAGAATTACCACGAAACAAAGGCCAACATTAGACAGGTAAACACAAACCCAGCCTCATGGACAAGCTCAACCCTAGTACGTATATATAATGCCTACTTAGAGAGGCCGCTTACTTACTTTTCTCGCAGAGGTGGACGCCGATGGGGACGGAAAGGCCGGCTTTTTCAAATAAATGCATACCGCTACGACATGACGCAACCAGCACACTTGGAAGCGAGATACCAAGGACAACTTCCTATGACATTGTAATATTAGCTTAATAACGACCAACATTGAATTGATCTTCGTTCGTCTTGCATTGAATACTGCTGCCATTGTACCTTGTTTCGCAACAAATTCACTCCTGATCAAATCACCCGTTCGGCTATGGGTACCCATTGATCAATGGGTTTGTCGGTCGGAACAAGCACCACTCTGCCACCGACCCAGCCGCTCATGTCTCCGGTTCCGCCGAGCTTAACCTCAAGCGTGTCCACTGCCACTAGCTCCTTTTCATCTACCTGGGGACAGTCATGGCTGCGACGCTCAGCGCATGCATACTTCAAGATGCGGTGCATACTTACTACATCAAACTGACATGCGGCATATACGCCTCTTTGGCCCAGTCTTGGGCTGTTTTCTCGTCCGCATAGCCATCGACGTGTTTCCTGCACTGCTTTGCTAGCGTCTTCAACCCGCCGTCCTTTTCGCATTTGATGTAAAGCTTGCGGAAAAAGAAATCATCGCTGCCAAGACGCTCAAGGTTGACCCGAACGTCCTTTGCTGGGCCTAGGTCGAGAGCGCTCAACCAAGCCGGGCCATCCGAACCGTATTTGGATGGCGATATCTCCGAAGTCAAGGTGACGTGCGGAAGGAAGCGGTGCGGGGAACCGAACGACTTGGATGTTTGGTCGATGAGCCCCGGCAGGACTTTGTTCAGCGGGTGGTCCGCTGGTGGCAGCAGCCAAAGCGATGAACCCGGCATGTTTGTTTGAAAAGCTCGCAACAATGTCAAGATGGAAGAAAGTCGCAGGTCCTGACAAGCTTCAACCCCCCGCGCATCATGCAGCGTGGCGCAGTAGGCTGCTGACGCCACGTGACTAGCCGGTTCCGGATACGGATGATCGTCAGCCACACCCACCCATGTGAGGAGGTTCGGCCCGTGACTTGCATGTGAAAGTCGGCCTCGACCCCGACAACCGTTCCCACCTTACTCAATGGTACACCATCCCAATAGCCGCGACGAATGAACATGCGCCTTGTGCCACTGCGGCGCTGTCAGCCGATCATTTTCTGTAGTAATCCAACGCCATGACTGGAGCGCTGAGCGTCGTGTATGGGGCGCTTTGGAGCTTCCTGCTGTGCTTGTTCGACGTAGCTTTCTTTTGGCAAGGGGTGCGTCTCCTCCACCAAGCCCGCTATCTCGGCTGTCTGGTCGCCTGAAGCTCTTTTGGGTCTAATGCTGATATGTTGAAGAGACTATACGCGTGGTGGACGCAGAAGAGCCAGAGAGAGCTGCTGCTGGAAGCTCTCAACAATGCAAGGCTCTTCGAGGAATGGGAGGCCGCTGCATACAAGCTCGATGAGGTCCTCGACTATGACATGTGGTAAGTTTTCCGTCTCGTCCTCAACAAGACCGTCTTTGCGCATCGACTGACCATGGCTTCACAGGCGGCAGACCGCGATGAGCAAGGACTACGATCACCGCCTCATCCACCAGCGTCTCTACGCCCTCTACGAAGCCCAAGAAGACAATGACGTTCTTGGCGTCATCAACCTCCTCCGCAGCGGCCTCGTGCGAAACCTCGGAAATATCACCGCGTCGCGATTGTACAACCGCGCTTACGCGGGAACAAAACTCCTGATCGAAGACTACGTGACGCAGGTTGCTTACGCGATCGAGAATCTTACACAATACCCCACGTCGAGGAACTCGGACACAGGGTTGACGAATCAGGCAAAGCTGGATGTTCTCCACGATACGAGGCAGGCGTTTGGGAGATCGGTTTTGGTACTCCAAGGCGGTCAGGTCTTTGGGCTGTGTCATCTGGGTGTTGTCAAAGCGCTGCATCTGCGCGGTCTGCTTCCCCGAATCATTGCCGGGACTGCGACTGGGGCGCTCATCGCGGCCTTGGTGGGTGTTCACACGGAAGACGAATTGCTCGAATTCCTTACTGGAAAGAACATTGATTTGACGGCCTTTTCGAACAGGCCATATAGAAATGGCGCTCGAGGTACCACGCGGCTCGAAACCCTGATCCGCCGTGTCAAGAGATGGTGGAATCAAGGTCATTTTCTGGACGTAGGCGTACTCGAGCAGGTTCTGAGGGCCAACGTCGGGGATCTGACTTTCGAGGAGGCATATGCAAGGACAAAGAGAGTGTTGAACATTACCGTCACGACTAGTAGTGGTGGCAGCGTGCCAAATCTACTCAACTACCTAACAGCACCCAATGTTGTACGTATACTCCAGCTGCTTTGCCGAAGCAACCACTAACGGTTGCAGCTTATCTGGTCCGCAGCTCTGGCCTCCAACGCGACGTCCTCCTCGACACTGTACCACTCGGTCACGATGATGTGCAAAGACGAAGAGGGCAACGTGGTCCCGTGGTCTCCAGCCTCCAAGACTACTTTCCGCCCTTATACGCATGCATCCTACCGTGACCGCGAGTCTCCTCTACATCGCATCGGCGAGCTCTTCAACGTGAACCACTTCATCGTCTCACAGGCGCGGCCCTACCTTGCTCCCTTCCTGCGCTCCGACTTACACCATCCCAACCCCAGACAAGATGGGCGTCTAGGGCTGAGCATGCCAATTCTACGTCTGGTAGTGTTGGAAATACAACACAGATTGCAACAGTTGGATGAGCTCGGGCTACTTCCTCCGTCAATCCGTCGTTTCCTGCTCGATGAGAACATCCCCGGCCCGAGCCTTACGCTGGTCCCTGAACTCACTCCAAGCGACTTTTTTAAGCTGCTGGAGAACCCGACCAAAGAAGCAATCGATTACTGGATACTCAAGGGGGAGAGGATTGTGTGGCCAGCGGTCACAGCATTGAAGATTAGGTGTGCCATTGAAGTAGAGCTTGACAGAGGATATCAGCTCGTTAGGCGCAGGAAGCCTTTCGATCCTGTAGCAGGTGGGAGTATTACCGCCGGTGATCTTGGGATAAATTTGAGAAAGAGTACGAGTCGCGGTGAGGTGCAGTCCATGTACGGATGGGATGGCGATGCTAAAGGCAGTGAGATCAGGCAAAGACCGACGAGGGCGGCAAGCTTTGCGGGTAGTGTCCCCTAAACATTCATTTAATTTGAAGTTTACTTTGTCTGTGTATAGGTATCATTTTCTTAGCAATAACACCTTTTTGGCGGGCCAATTCATGTTTCTCAGCATTCATCCGCCGAGGCCGTGTGCGCTCTGGGCAGCGCAGCGCAACCCATAGCTGTTGCATTTATTGGCAACCCCAAGAACCCATCTCGAGCATTGACTGGACAACACGAGGGGCATCTTCCGTAATCCGCCTTACCACCCCCACATACTAAAAGGCCCAGCAGCACGTCATTCACGCTAAGAGGGGTCCAATGTTTCTGCTGGGATCAAGATTTCGTGTTGAGAATTTGGATCCCCGTCTACCCAATTGACAGTTTAAAAATACCGTTACACCACAGAACAGTTTTTAAAGCTACCAACCCTCATATCTTGATTTAACCTTTCAATCCTCCCCGTCGCGACCTCATCTGCAGTACTTACAATGGCGACGTGAGCCCCACCATACCCCACCATCACCATGTAAATCACTAACGGTACCTTTTAGCAACATTACATGGCACCCATCTCTTTCGCGCGAGGAGCGCAACACATACCGCAAGCAGAAGGGCTTCACCATCTGGTTTACCGGGCTGTCTGCGTCGGGCAAATCCACCATTGCGACGGCGCTTGAGCAGCACCTTCTGCACCTTGGATTCGCAGCATACCGTCTGGATGGCGACAATGTGCGCTTTGGCCTGAACAAGGACCTGGGATTCTCAGAGAAGGACCGCAACGAGAACATTAGGCGGATAGCAGAAGTACGCAGCATGAAAGCGCTAGTTTTTCCGCAAAACTGACAAATGGTTCCACAAACAGGTCGCCAAGCTCTTTGCAGACTCTTCCACAATCGCCATCACATCTTTCATCTCGCCCTATACCGCCGACCGCAAGCAAGCGCGCGACCTGCACGCCATAACGACGGGCACCGACGCGCCACTCGCCTTCATCGAGGTCTTTGTCGACCTCCCGCTCGAGGTAGCTGAGGCGCGCGACCCCAAAGGCCTGTACAAGAAGGCGCGCGAAGGCAAGATCCCCGAGTTCACGGGCATCAGCGCGCCGTACGAGGCGCCTGAGAACCCTGAAATCCATATTCGGAGCGACCAGAAGAGCGTCGAGGATAGCGTCAAGGAGATTGTCGAGTATCTGCAGTCAAAGGGGCTGTTGGAGCTGCAGAAGTAGAGGGTTGTATGAAAACTTTGATGAGGCTGGGCGGGAAAAGAATAGAAGCGCTACTTATGATGCGAAAGATGGGTACTGTGCGCGATTCGGATTAGAGCTTGGAATGGAAAAGCGTGTTGAGAGTAGACATATCAATGTTTTTTTTGGATGCTCACCCTAAGTCTATACCGAGTGTTCACATCATTCTCTTTCCGAAGTCTCTCTTTATAACTCGAGCAGAAGTAGCGCAACTACGAAGGAAAGTCATTGTGAACTTATTCCTTCTATAACTGCGTGTTGAGAGTATCATTTCCTAATGATCTTTGTACACATCCCATGACCTTGCCGCCTCGCAGAAAACTCCTCTTATCGGCTTTTGCGGTGTAGCACTTTCTAGTCTAGTACGTGAAAGATTTTGTAACTCTCTGGGAATACTAGGGGTATATCATTCATTCACATACCAATTTTCGAATCCTGACAAGCCTGCCGCATGTATTGAATTTCTAGTCTATCCAAACGACACTATTTTTGGTACTACAAGAGTCTAGCCGCACTTTCTGGACTGCACAGATGTGTCTCTGTATCTGCCCACTTTTACTAGTCCTAGAATCCAGCCATGTTACAACATCTGTAGAAAGTGGACTTGAAGAATAATAGCCAAGAAAAAATCCACTGTGAAATAGTGAAGTTTGCATACCTCCATCACACACTCACACACTTACTCAAACACACACACACACACATTCTCTTGCTCAAGCATTTATTCCCGAATAACTGACGAATTAACTAAACGTCGGAATCCCTAAAAAAGCAAATCTCTATCCTCCCCCACATCACGAACTACGTATCTAAAGTCCCGCATATGTACCCACACCTTAGCTTCCCTCTAACCGACTTCCACGGCCACGGTCACCGAATACGACGCCTTATCTCCCCCGAACTTCTTTCACCTTTCCTTCTCTCCATATCTCTCTCTTAATTCCCGAAGGAGAGACACGCTGAGCCGGGTCTTACCTCGATCTGGAATCTAAGATCTAATGGGATTCCACGGAACCCCCTCCCCCCCTTCCGCGGGCGCCAACGTCAACCACAACAAACACCATGTATTTTTGCTATTCCAGACCCCAAAGTACCATTGCTCCAGATGGAGAAGTTTCAAACTCCGGAGGCGCATACCCGAGTCCTATCGTATTCTGCTGTTGTGTAGTGGGGCCCAGAAGGTGTTCTGAGTGGTTCAGCACATGAACCAGTCCATGCAGCTTCGCATCTTGACTCCACACGCGCATGATCCCCCGCATGCAGTAGCAGGCTGGAGTATTGGGTTCTCTACCATACGAGACGAGTACATCTTCATCCTCGCAGTGAAGGCAGGGAAAGTGGCGTTGAGTCCAATCAAATTATAGTGTGATGTTTGCATTGACTTTGGTGCTAGACCTTCCTTCCAATACGCCACTGCATATTTCTGCATCGTGCCTCGCCTATCGTGATGGACGTCCAAGCCACAGTAGTTGGAATAGAGGAAATGGGGAATCAACACGTGCGGGGAACCAGTGAGATGAAAAGACAGCACCGTATCCTGTTATCAGGTGATTGTGCTCTCTCTCTCTCTCTGTCTCTCTCTCGCTCCAGTATATAAATATCGGTATCCAGTGTACCCATTCCAACTACACACATGTTGTGAGATTCACCATTTGCAATAATTCTTCAGCTTCCAAAACTACCAAGTCGCGCAGGTGCGGAAACCCAAATCATGAAGGTTTGCTACACTTTGTTTGTCCTTGGGTTTGCAAACCTCTCACTCGCGTCTCCCGCTCCCCCCATCAGCGAGAACCCTTCAAGTGTGCTTTTCAAACGCAATTTCGGAAACTGCAACGGCTGCGGCAAATGCAACCTGTCCAACACGTTTATCGGAAACTGCCACGATGCGGTTAACAAGTTTCAGAGTGGCTACAACTACAACTCGCGTATGTTGGGAAAAGACCGATTCGCCATTTGGTCTTGATGTGTTGGATGCTGATTTTCTGCGTTGGAAATAGATCAAAGATTTACCGTGGGCGAATGCTATGCTGACTGGTACTGCAACGGTGCGTATCCTACCAAGGACGGTGCCGATATCAAAAACGTGTTCAACGTCGGAATCTACCAGAAGGCGGGTTGCCAAGCTTGTGGAGAGTAAGTGCGCTGATAATGTTGTTGAGATGACTGTCAATTGACGCTTGTGTTTAGGTGGTGGTTGGAGGACGGCAGTAACTGCCATGGAACAATCCAAGCCAAGGGTTGCTGAGCATTTTTTACAAGGTTTTTGCTGGATGAGTGCTTTGACATGGCGTTGAGATGGCTTGAGTGCTATTTTTAGTTCAGCATAGTTGACTCTCCACTGTTTTACGGCTGCATGTTAGTCTCAAACCGATTTTTAATATTTACGTCGAGCGGATTAGACATATCGTCCATTACTCATAAGCTTTTACACGATGGCGTAGTGCTCGGACCATGCACTAAGCGCGCGAACCTTGACAGCACTGCATACTATGAGTGAAACGACAACTTCCGAGTTACGGTTAATGAATCTTCACGGCCATTGCGCTAGCAGTCCTGTTATTTCAACACATATCTAAAACGCTTAGAACAATGCCCCCTTTTTAACCCACGGTTATATTCTGCAACGACGAGAAGGGTTTCGGAAGTGGTACCGCTGCAAATCTCATAGAAACTGACGGCTGGTAGTCATGGATGGCCCTAGTAGCCATATGATAGCGAATCTTTTATGTCATTGGGCCGAGGAATGCATAAGAGCATGCATATATTATGCACAAAGTACTTGTACTCTCTACCCGCTTGATGTGGAAATGTTTCTCGCTACTGGTGATCAACTACTCCACGGTTCTTGCAGCGCATTCTCAGAGCAGCCTAGACTTGACGCCTATCAAGAAAGGTACCTTGGTGAAGACATTCTGGCGAACCCGAACACAATATTTGCTAAGAAGCTAATTCTCTGCTCCTTTGGGGCAGTGGAATCGCTTCGTTCGGCTTTAAAGTTCTACTCAGCCACTTCACTCCAGTCAAAGCGAAGCAGTTGCAGCACAGTCTTTTATGAAGCTGGAGGAGTGATGGAGCTATGAAAAGTATTAGCAGCGATTAGTGAAGGACCCTAGCTGCGGATAATGCAAAGCCTAAACAAGCCCTTCACCAGCTCATGAAACCAAATGATCGGCTGAAGATGGAAATGGATGGCTTACAAAAGCACCTTTCAATGATGCAAGGAGGCTACAAAGAGCGAGCCTGTTTCGCTCACTCAGTGGAACCAAATTCGCCCAAAGACGCAGTTCTACTTTCCTGGGGCGTTAAAAAGGCGCAACACCTTGAAATGTTTTCGAGCAGGAAGAGAGGAACGATGATGACGTCCGTAAAAACACCAAGCGAGATCTTTGCAGAGCTAACAGAAGCCTGAACCAAAAGCAAGCTTCTGCTGCTGCTGCTGCTGCTGCTGCCACAAGGAGAAAGGCAAGCTACAGCTCGATGCCCAACCGCCGCAACGCGTGAAGAAGTATCTCCATGCAAAGCCAAACTCGGGAATATATACATCAAGAGCCAGAAAAAGAGCCTTCGACCAAGAAACCACCTTGCTTTAAATAGGTACCTCTCTCTCTCTCTCCTCTCCTAACTAACATGACCCCCCTATCCCCGTTCTCGCAAAACCCACCCACTTGTCTCTCTCTCTCTCTCCCCCCCAGCCCTTCATTTCCCGCCTCCCTACCCGACAGCCCACCACCCGCCTACCCAAGTAAACCATGCAAGCAACCCTCAAAACCAGCCCCACACGTACCCATCCATCTAACCGTCTCTCTGCAAGTAAACTCGCGCAACGAAGCTACGCTATCTTCACGTCTACCCAACCATTCCCTCTCTCTTACCTTGTTTGGATGCAGACATGTCAGCATGCATATTCACGGCTCATTCCAATATTCATGGTTTAATATATAAAAAAAACGTAATCATCCATGTATGTATGTGTGCATGTGCAAGTAGGGGGTGGGGTGCGGGCAAAATAGCGATAGAAGGGATGACCCTGGGATGTGAGATGTGGAGCTCAATTAAGAGAATGTTGATATATGCCATGATCAATTGCCGAGATGTAGGATTAGTCATTTTCTTGAATTGATTGATTGAGTGTTTACTTGGTTAGTGACTTTGGTTGTTGGTGTCTTGGTTGGAGTCTTGGTTTTTTTTGAAAGGGGGGGGGGAGGGAATATCTGCGGAAATGAGTGGTCGGAAGAAATCAAAGAGGTCAGGGGAAAGACAGAGAGAGAGAGAAAGAGAGAGATAGCGAGAAAGAAATGGGGCGTGGTATTGTATCCTTTGCGCATGTCATGTTATACGAAGTAAGGATATACGTATCCGTGGTATGTAGTAAACTCAATCTGCCCGCGAGTGCAGATCGATGTGGTACGCGAGACACAGCGATCAAGTAAGATTTGAGGGCGTATGTCGATCGCGGTACGCCTAAAACAACTAACTAACTAACTAACTAACTAGGCTTCGTATACTTACAAACCATCTATTCAATAAACAAGACATTGATACAATAAATCCTTTTCCAAAGAAGAAACTCCGGTACTTACGTATACAAGTCAAGTCACACGGCCACTCCATTTTTACTCACCAAAATCCAAACACCGAGTCTACTCCGTTCCCACCACCACATACGTCCACATCTCCACATGCTATCTAACACAACAAACATGCGCTCCTGGCGCAGCGGGTAGGGGCGTCGAAAAAAACGGCGGCAGCAACCACGAAAACGGGCAAGCCTTGCTCGCCTACACCAACCCTAGTCCAAGAATCTGGCAACCATCTCCGAAAAAAATCAATGATCGGCGACTGGGGGGGCCAGGGGGGATCATAGCAGCGATAATATGTAAGCCAATCCGTTATCGCGCCGGCTTGTGTGTGTGTGTGTGCGTGCGTGCGTGTGTGTCTGGCACTATCGAAATGGAACATAAGGCGGAGATATGTCGTCATGAGGGCGATGGGCGATTAGGAAAGACTGAGACGAAAGAGGGATAAGTGAGAGACTGAGAGAAAAGGGCAGTGCTTGCGATGGCTATTGGGTGAAGTGGTAAGCAGTGTCATATGCGATGGCTGCTATTGAGTGGGCACCGGAGACACCGGGGCTATATGTGTGTGTGTGAGTGGTTGTGTTGGTTGGATGGTTAGTTGGTTGGTTGGACGTGGTGTATGTAGACAAGTTGGAACGACAGGGTTAAGTCATTGTTTCGACTACGGCCGAGAAGAAGACGAAGGAGGAGAGGGAGGAGGAGGGGGGAAGGAACAGAAACCCCTTTGCCTTTGTTTCACAGTCCGCTTCGTTATACCTAGACCGGGGCTTTGGTTGGACTACCAGATAGTGGAGACAGTATGCGCGAAAGCATACAGAATAAATGATTGATGCAACGACGCTGATTAGCGAGACAAGAAGAAGAAGGGGGGGGTGGCCATTTTCTCGCGGGAAATGGGGACGAACAACAACACAGCGATAAGTGCGTATGCTATGGTGTCGACGCGTAGCCCCGACTAACGGCTTGCCACGGAAGCAGACATCCAAGGTATAATATAGACCAGGTAGCAAGGGTATGTGCTGTTTATTGGACTACAAGCAATTGGGCTGGAGACAACCAGCCCCCAGTCCCCCCCCCTCGAGACTAGTTTGCCAAGCGTATAATACAACAGACAGCGGCATATCGAATGAGTGAGAGAGAAGGGCGACGGAGCGGAGCACAAGGGCGACGACTGGCAACAGAGAGAAACAACATGGTTCTGGAAGCAAATGCCGGGTTTTCTTGTTGCCTGAGCATGAAGTCGTAGGGATCAACCTTGTCACATAGGCCTGGGTCGCCTCTGCTTGTCATTGCCACACATTATCTGTCCATCAGCCGGCCCCCAAATGCATTGTCAGTGTCGGACATGAGTGTTGAAACAAGAGCTAGTAGAAGGGCTAGGCAAACAGTCTGGACGTTGTTCGTTATTCGCTTCCCCCTCCCCTCCCATCCAACCACCACCCCTCCCCCCCCCGTCTACGACTTAGATGTCATGCATGTCAGCATTTCGAGCGGGCGGGGGACTGTACCCGTCAAACTAACTCAATCCTCATATATTGCGCAACTGTGGGGCTAGCCAGGGCTGCTTGCAACATCATCAACAAGGGCCTTTTTTTAGGGACGGGGAGGGGAGGGGAGGGGGGTGTTAGAGATGTGCTCCGGCAGCGGAGAGCGCTGACAGCGAGCCGGTCGGCACGTACGCACGCACGCGCGCACAAACGAACGGAAGACGGAAAAGGGTTGTTTGACCGATGCTTGCCGTCATGGAGATGGACCTGCATGAATGTCCACGTCATGGGGTTAGGAGAAAAGCCACGGAGAGAGAGAGGATTTGGATTATAGGCAAAAGAAAAAGGACGGTGGACGGCAAGGAGTGGACAGGGTGGGGTAAGGTTGAAACGTTGGGGCCGTTGAGCGGACGCCTGCAATGCGGGCCTGACATTGCGCATAGTAATTTTACGTGTTGAGAGTGGTGCAAAAGAAAAAAACAAGGCCGACGATGGACACCCTTGTGGAGCTGTCTTGGTGGAGTCTTTTTGCCAAAAACAAAGATGGATGCAGGGTTATACGTAGGAGATCCCGGAAAGGGTATCGAGGACGGACGGCAAACCCTAGTCAGCGATGGTGGTTGTTTTTCGCCATGGGATTGTGATGGACAAGAGTCATGATGAGGGGGTGGCGCTGTCAACGCAGACCAAGGGACAAAAACGAATTCTCATCACCTTAAGCGAGCCGTTGTGTCGCTCTTTGCTCAACGCGGCTCCAAGTAGGTGTACCAAATGAGTAACTTTTCTTTTCATCAACCACCCATGTGACTTGATCAGTTGAATTACAGGCGTCCGCCAAGATCTTGCTTCAGCACGTCCAGAATCTTCTTACTGTCAACTTCATCGTCACCACCATTACCGTTTCTTGACAACCCATCTTCACCTTCCTTTAGCCTCTTCAAAACCTCAGGGTCAAGTTCTTGCATTAATTCGTCAAATTCTTTTTGTTGCTCCCCCTCCAGCTTGGCGTACTCTTCCTCCAGCATGAACTCTTCCTCGGGTAGCTTGGTCATGTCGGCAGGAAACACATAGATCGTAGGGAACTCGAGAATAGTATGGCCACGCAGGCTCTCGGCGAGCGTAGAGGAGGAATCCAGGGGAATGAGGACGTGGCGGGTCGTGCTCGTGCGAGGTTTTAGTAGTAAAAACCTATACTGCCTACGGCCCAGGGGTTGGGCGCTTGGCTCATCATGGTCAAGGCCGCTATGGTGTACGTCTGCCACGTCCGCTTCTCTTTTGGTGGGTTGTCCCTCTTCTGCCCAAGGAGGGGTTGATCCTCTTCGCCCAGAAGAGGTAGGCTCTGGTTGCGCATTGCTGATCGGGAGCGTAGCCTCAGCGTTGAGCTGCTGAAGCGGGTCTTGAATCTCTGAAATAGGCGCGACATGATTGTGCGGTGACTGAATTGACTCGATTGTCGGGAGGGTGGTGGTGGTGGTGGCAGCAGCAGCGGCAGCTTCAGTGTTGAGCTTCCGCTTCTTGTTTTTACCCTCTGTGCTATGTTGTGCAAAGGGCTGTGCATCTATTAATTGCTGTACAGACGACGTCTGAGTAAGCACACGCGTCTGGGACCCGAGAAACCATTCGACAGTCCAGACGATGTTGCGTGAAGCTTTTCTGGGACGCCGATCAGCCGTGTCACATGGGGGCGAAGACTAGTGGGAGGGTCTCACTTTGTGGCAGATAAGTGCGACTTGTTTTCTCGCTGTCTACTCAAGCCCTGTGGGGCTCGGATGATGTTGACGCCAGCAGCAGACTCGAGTTTGGCATAGGCAACGCCGGCGCGCTGACGATTCGACAAGCCATCCGAGGGCGCAGCAGCGGTTGCGCTGGCAGCAATGCGTTCAGCCTTATCAAGGTCCCGCTCGATGCCGGAGAGAAAGTTGTAGTCATGGTCAATGCCAGCCGGCGTTAGCAGCTGAGCCTTTTTCACAAACTTTGCCGGGTCGCGTCGGCCAGAACACTGCGCCCACTGCTGGTGGCGCTTGTAACATGGCAACGAACAGGTGCGTGCCTCACAGCCTGGACAGCGGTACTTGAACTTGTTGGCGTTGCTGCAGTGCATTGTCAGCGCATGATTACAGAGGCCCAGCGCGTGCTTGGCTGGCTACATTGCCACGAGAAGCAGGCGTGCCGCAGGCGTGGGCGGGCCAATGGCTGTTTCCCCGTGAGCATCAGCGCTATTTCGAGGGCGCGGTAGCATGACATACCAGACGCTGCATAGCTCGTTTAAAAGGAGACTGTTGGACATGGTGGCGGGGATGGCAGGTGCAAGGCGATGGATGGGTGGATGGATGGATGGATGCTACCGTAGATTTGACAAGTAGCAGGGAAGGGCCCGAGTGGAGATGCGCGAACGGCGGACGGCGGACGGGCGCAGGGAACGTGGAGCGGAGGGTGCCGGGCGCTCGAGTGGAGGGGAAGTTGAGGTTGTGCGTGGTGTGGCGCGTGGGAGGGAGATGGTTGCACTTGCACTTGGCCTTGGGGGTGAAAGTTTCCAAGCCGAGGCGAGCATATGTGGCTAAGCCAAGCGCTGATAGGCGGGTGGCAGCCAATCAGCGCGCGGGCGAGCAAACCTTGGGCCTGTGGGCGTCGGGGAACGACGACGGGAGGCCAACACTGGCCTGCCGTCGACATTGCCATCAGCCATCTCGCGCGCGATAGTACTTAGTATACTTGTACAGCACACCTGGACCTGGACCTGGACCTGGACCTGGTCGCGAAACACGGGCAATATCTGGAGATTTGCAGCACAGTCGTCGTCGTCTGGCCCTGCCGGGGGGGATGGAGCTGTCGACCAGGAATCCCTTTTGCTAGGCGCATCGGAGCATTCCCCACGCCCAATCACTTTGGAGGCCCACCTGGGCGCTGATCATACACGGCGGCATGCACTACGATGCCTTGGACTGCGACCATTATGCGCTACTGTCCATGGATCGCCTCTCGTTGTGGCCGTGGCCGTGGCCGTGGCCATCATGGTCGTGGTGCGGCCAGCAGGAGCCGGGCACGCCGCAGCACGACAGCTAGCACGCGCAACACGTTTCGACAGACGGCAGGCGTGTGCAGAAGCAGGCGGGTGTTGCTATTCGCGGGGCGGCACAGCTGGTGGCCAGTGTTTCAGCCGTCGACATGTCCAAACCAGGCACAGCACCATGGTTGTCGCGGCGGCCACGAACGAGCGACTACTGCACGTAGCCACCACGTCTTCATCCACCTACGTACTGCTACGTACATGTACACGCATACCGGAGTGTGGAGCCGATGGAGCCAGCTGAGCGAGGGCAAGGCGTCGTCGTCGGCGGCGGCGGCGGCCATGGGCCTTGGAGGCAATGTGCAATGGGGTGCAGAGGCAGGCTAGCCCGCGGCGGACTGGTGCAAAAGACATGCGTGAAGGGCCGTCTAAACGCGATCTTCGCACTCGGCGTCGTGGGCAGCAGGCGACGGCCTCGCACCAGTGCCAGCGGGACCAGGAGCGTCAGGGGAGGCCAACGCCGCCACCAGACGTCGAAGCATTGCCATTCGCGGACCGCCCAAGCTGCAAGAGCGGGAACTCTGCTCATGCACACGCGCTGCAGGACGCCTTTGGGGATGCACAAGGAGCGCAACTGAATCGAAAGCAGGCCCAAAACGGCATGCAACAGGCGGCCATGCAATAGCAGACTATTGCCACGGGCGGGGACTCGCTGGCAGCATCCCTGGATGGGCCGAGTCACGGTGCCCAGAGCCGCGAAGGATGATGTGGAGGGCGTGTGTGTGGATGCAAGCTGCCAGTGTGCGTGGGTGCATGTGGGTGTGCGGGTGTGGTAAGTATTGACGTGAGCAGCCAGCCCTGCAGGTACCACGGCACGTTATGTGCAGCGCCGACGATGACAATGTACTGCTAATACCAATGTAGTATGTAGGCGTAGGCGTATGTGCAGGCAGAAAGAGAGAGAGAGAGGGCTTCCAGTACCCGCCGGCCGGAGCGCTGCACGCCCGCTGAGCTGCCCAGGGCGGCGTCGAGATTTGGCTGCGGCCCTTGCATCCGTCGTCGCCGCCGCCGCCATGGCCGCCACCACCACCACGGCCGCCACGGCCGCCGCCGCAGAGGGAGAGGCACAGCAGCAGCCGCGCAGCAGCCGGGGCAGCAGAGAGGGCAGCCGACACAGGACGCCGGACACGCACCCAGGACAAGCATGCACTCGCTCATTAGTAGAGATGGCACAGGACAGCACCGCCGTTATTCCCATCGCAACCTGAGCCGCCCCTGACAGCACGCAGGGCCGTGCGCGGCGACGGACCCTGCGCGTGGCAGGGATAAGCTTCTCTCATTTCTCGAACCGAGACGTGTGCAGGGGCCCCCTGGCTAGTTCGCGCGGCCTTCTGCTCCCAGCAATCCAGTCCGCGCGCGGCGCCAGAGCTTCCCCCAAAAGCCATGTTTCCCCCTTGCTGCCACCCTCCTCTGCTACCCGCAGCAAGCTGACCTTGAGCCCTCAATCCCACCGGCTGCGTCGACTGTACTCGCGCTCCGCTCTCGCTCTCGCTCCTCAGCCCTCCCGGACTCGCGTGGCCTGCGCTCCCAATGTTGTCCCTCTGCTCACTGTTATTGTAATATCCTGGACCCCCATATCCTGCTCCTGTACCACCGCCGCCGCCCGACACCACACACTCCCCCGCCATGGCGCCCTCGTTGAGCCTGCGCCCTCGCACCGCCAGCGACCGCCCGTCCACCAGAGACAATGCCGACCACAGCCTCATCATCCCCAGCCGCACCTCGTCTCTCCACTCGAGGATCACCCAGCCGCTCCCCCCGACCCTCAACATCAAGCAGGGCTCCAGGAGCCCCAAGACGCTCACCCATGCCTACATGGTGTGTGGCGTTGGCCGCGAGCCCTCGCAATGGGTCAAGGCACCTGCTCCCGCCCAGGGCAAGATTGGACACATGAAGGGTGCCGTGGGCACTTTTTGGCTTCCCGAGATCCTGGGCAGCAGCCCGCGACTGGAGCAAGACAATGAAATCGCAAGATCTCTCCACTCGGCCATGAGGGTATGCCTGCTTTGCCCCTCCCCCTCCATCAATGCCATTGTCGCATCAGACCTGCTAACAAACGCCGCAGGCATGTTTCCCTCACGATGTCGAGATTTGCACTGGCAGGAGCCAGCCGCACTGCGTACACCACTCATTTGTCCTGCAGCAGGATTCTTCCCATACCCTCTACGGTATTGCGCTGCGTGTCTGGTCGCGCGCCGATGAGAAGAGAGCCGAGACGATTCGCGACCTGCGCAAGCGCATCGAGCCCGACTTCTACGACAACCCAGAAGAGACGTACTGGATCCCCTACTGCCTCAGTTTCCTCTCCCGGTACCCCTTGTACAACCTGCTTGGCGACTACTTGCGCGGCATGTGGATTCACTGGAACAAGGCCACCAACCTGTTCCACGCAGAGGAGGTATCTCGCATCCTGAGTTTCCCTGCCCCGCGCCTGAACGACCTGGTTCGCATCGACATGAAGGACTACGCCCTGTGCTACCAGTTCCCCTCATCGCCTACCGGCTTCCAAAACTTCGCCATGTGGCCCCTCTTCACCTGTCTGTCCATTCCCAACATTGTGGGTGTGATTGAGGCGGCTCTGTCACCCACTCGCCGCATCATTTTCACCAGCCACTACCCCGCCATGCTCACGGTTGCGGCAGAGACGATCCGCTTTTGCGTAAGGGTGTACGAGTGGAGCGGTCTGTACGTGCCCGTGGTTCATGCGCGTCACGTCAAGGACCTGGTGCAGGAGCCCGGCCCGTACATTCTGGGTGTAACGTCGGAATGCCGCTCGCTCTTTACGGCCCCAACAGATGCCCTCGTTGTGGATCTGGACCGCAACTTTGTCCTGACCTCGAGCCCTCCGACCGCCCTGACAGCCGGTCAGCGCACCAAGATGATTACTCGTCTCACACAGGCCCTCAATGGCGAGGTCGCGCCAACTGGTGTGCCACAGCATCTGCGATCTGCTTACGGCGGCGGTAAGCTCGTTCCCGCCGGTCAAATCATTGTCATGCGCGGCGAGGTCGAGAGCATCCAAGACCCCGACTGGTGGTCGCAAGACGCGGTCATGTCGGTCATGGACCACGTGTGTGAGAAGCTCGTAAGTAATCCGCCGTTATCTGTTAATTTCGGATTTATCTAACGGTGATTTTAGGGCCGAAACACTGGTGTCAAGGCACTCTTCGGCGGTTCTGTCAAGAAGCCATTGATGACCAAGGTCTCGATGCGCCATTTGAACGAGATTGTGCGCGAGCGCAATCAATACTCACGTGACGCACAAGAAGCTTGGACAGACTTCATCAACCTTAAGCAGCGCTTGGACAGCGAGCTTGGTAAGGTTACCAAGCGCAACAACTTCCTGGTCGAGGAGCTGGAGAGCTGGAAGCAGCAGTTCCTCAAATTCCAGGCTTTCGCTGAGCAGCTCACCAAGGAGACTCAGGACCTCAAGGTAAAGATTGAGAACCACAAGCGCGAGAACCGTCGTCTCACTAGCCTCATCGATCAGCAAAAGGACGACGCCGCAAGGCTTACTGTTCGCCTGTCCGGTACTGAGAAGCAGCGCGACGACGCCCTCGAAGCCCTCGTGCTCCAGCAAGAAATTGCCGAGGAGCTTGAGCGCGAGAGGAAGAAGAACAAGAAGGAGCTCAGTGCTCTCCAGCACACCAACACCGCCATTCTCCGCCAGCGCGACGAGGCACAACGTGTTGTGCTTCACCTCCGTGCCCTCATCGAGGGCCAGACGCACCACATGGAGCACATTGTCAAGTCGCTCAACCAGGACGACATGTCAAACTACATGGACGCCGGCTTCGAGGATGTGCCTGAAGAGGACGAGGAGGATGAGGAGGTGGACCCCAAGGGTCGCGCAACCAGCCGCAGCTCCGCCAAGGACAAGTCCGAGGTCGGTACCATCCGTGGCGTGGCTGGCGTCGATAGCCGCCAGGACTCACGGGCAAGCACCGCCCAAGGCAAGCACCTCGACGGCGAAGACGTCACACCCGACATGGAGCAGCGTCTCTTCAACAGCCCTGCGCGAAACTCGAAGCGTTTCTCAAACCAGTCCATGGTCGACGTGGCCGACCGCGTCCTCCGCGACAAGACGGATGCTATTGCTTACATTATCCGCAACATCTCGGAACAATGCGCCGCCGCTGTCGAGGGCCTCCAGCTCGCCCAGCGCGCCGATACCGAAGATGACAACCACAGCGACCGTCGCAGCAGCGTTGGTCAAATGTCCCTGCACGGTGGTCGTGTTCAATCGAGCCAAGGCAGCGACTATGGCGACGAGGACAGCATGCTCCGTCCTGGCCGCGGATCCAGCATTCCTCCTACACCCGACCTAAGCCACAGGTCCAGCACATCCATGTCCATGGCGAGCGCCAGCACAACACCAGACCGGTCAAGCCTGCAGCACCGATCGCACGACGTACCTGTTGTGCCAACACGCATCTTGGAAGACGACGACGATGTCGACGGCAGTGGTAACAACGACCTCCAGGCCGACATGGTTCCCGTGTCCAAGTACGCTCAACCGCTTAGGCAGCCCCACAGCTCCATCCGTCACATGTCATCGCGTTAAGTAAAAAGCGTGGAGGAGACATGGTTCTCATCTGGCATTGTTCCCATTTCCTTTATTTCCACAACCTTGATTTATCATTAGCGATCGAAACGAGATTAGCATTGATGCCCTTTTCCTTTCTAGTTCCCAAAGGCGTTTGTGAGAGACAGTGAGAGAGAGAGAGAGAGAGAGACAGGGCGAGAGAGTATTATTTCCTTTCTTCTTCTCTTGTAACCCTTCTATCGATACGGCCCAGTGCCCGTGAATCAACCCTTTTTCATTTCGTTACCGTCTTTGAGAAAACCCCGTTGTCATCCTCTTTCTAACGACCCGGTGTGGGCTTTTCCATCTTATTCCTTATGTACGTTATTATTTTTTTTTAGTTTCGTAACGAGTTGGTAGTGGACTCGCTAGCATACCCCCTCACCCCCTTCTATTTTTTTTTTCTTCAAAGAGAGACAGATGGAGACAAAGAGGAAGAGCAAGGAAGAAAGAAAGAAAGAAAGAAAGAGGAAGAGTAAAGAGGAGAGCAAGACTCTCAGGATATCGGATAGTGTGGAGTTTTGAAGTACTTGATATGTTGTTAGAAGGGGTGAACTTGGAAGAATGGAGGCGAGATGGCAAGGAAGGAAAGAAAGGGGGGCAGGACATACCCAACTTTTGGAGGCGGAAGCAAGTTTTTTTGTTTAATAACAGGTTATTAAGTCTCCTTTTTTTTACTAAGTCTTTTCTTCACACACACACACACTCTCTCTCTCTCTCTCTCTCTCTCGCTTCATCGCCCCTCCCCCCCCTCCGAACGGGATTTTGCTGCTGATGGGTGTTTGGCGGTATAGTGTGTAGAATTTGGCTTTTATTAATATCGCTGTTGTTGTCGTTATCGTTGTCGTTGCGGCCCGCCTGTTAGGATAATATACCACTTTTTTTTCCCGTTTGCTTCAAGGTGTATACAACGACGTGTGGGTGGGGGAGAGAGAGAGAGATGCTTCAGTACTTGTTGATGCTGTTCTTGCGGCTTAACGATGGAATACCTGATTGCTTTGCTTGCGGATAACCAATACACATACACATATCAACAAGTCCAGTCAGTCAGTCAGTCAGTCAGTCAGTCATTCAATTAGTCAATCAATATCCTCCTTTGCAAACACAGAGGGGCTTCGCACACCGCTGACGACAACTGAAACCCTACATGTTGGACAATGTCCCCGCGTATTGGGGGTAACACGCACAGAACCCACCCCACCACATACCCACACACACACAAACACGGAGGTGTTTGATTCACGTTGACGTTGGAGAAGAAGGTAAGTGGGGGGGGGAGGAACCTTCTTTTCCATTTCCATTTTTCTTTTTCTAAAATTACCACT